AGATAGAAAAGAGACAACCTCTGAGTAGAACAGAGTGATTCTCAAAAAAAAAAAGAAAAAAAAAACACGGGAAAGCAATCTGATTTTTACAGCTTTAGATGTTTTAGAGAAAGAAACATTTGTGAAGACTGTAAAATTCCCTGCAAAGAGTTTTTCTTAATTATTTCATTTTGGAGGAAGGGAGGAAAGAAGTTTTCTCTTACAAAGGTGCCTACTTTAAAAAGACATTTCAGGAGCTCAGATTCATGACCCATGACCCATCTTGGTAGCTAAATTGCCAGTTGCTAGATGAGATCTCCCATTGAAATTCTGTAGATGTTGGTGCTATGGCTGCTGTGTTAACTACATTTTTTTTCAGACTTCTGTAGTAGCAATTATTTTAAAAACACAAGAATCAATAATGATGTAAACATATTCTCAGCCGAGGATTAAAGAACTGAGTTCCATTACCTGCAATCAGAGTCATCCATGTCACAGAATCCTAAGACCTAACTCCTTCTTAAAACACCCAGGGCTTTTCTATCTCAGCTCAAAATTCTGAACTATTCCTGAAGTGTTTCAGTGGTTGAAAGCCTTTCAATTTTGATCTAAATATATCCCTGGACACTTCAAATCCATCATCTTTCATGTCGACATTTTAATTTAGCTTAAAATTCTTTATTCTTTGCAGGTCCATGTCATAGATAGAACATTAGTTCATTTTTTCCTAGTTGTCAGCCTCTGAGTTTTTAAGTTGTGTGTAGTTTATGGGCAGTTCAAGTGCAGTTTCCATACTGTGCAAGGAGCTGATGCTCATACAACTGCTTTGTAAGTCAAATACCCAGTTGTGAAAGGAATTGAGTAAAACGAGCCAACATTACGACACGTAACTTGCAACCCTTATTACAGGTTACAGTACAGGCTACTACAAGCCTGCAACCCAGTCCCTGCATAGAAGGACCCTGAGAAGACACCATTTTATACTTGGAACTATGCCCATTGCTCCCCTACCCTAAACTCCTCAAATCCATCAAGTGTCTTTTGACAGTCTGAAGATTTCTACATGAGATTTGTATGTTTACTCTGAATTTAGCCTGTTTTTCTATATATTATAGTTCATTCCTTTTCACCAAACTAACCTTATATAAAACACAATACCTTAAATTTTGCTAAGCTGTTTCTTCCAGAAAACTGTATTGTCTTGGCTGGTACAGGTTGATCTTTATTGTTAAAGTGTGTATACAAATTCCCATTTGAATTTGTCTGTCATTGATTTTTCTTCTGCCTTTCTTCTTTAGATAAGTGTCCAGCATTTTCTGCTCTTTGAGGTATTTATACACTTCAATCATGCTATTTTTTTCAATCTTCTTTTTTGATAAACTTTTGATAAAAGCAGATTAAGCTCTGAAAGTCTCTTACTTGAAGTAAATTTCCCTAACTTTCAGGTCATGGCTTAGTGGCTTTGTTCAGTACCTTTCTTAATGCTTTAATGTCCTTTTTAAACTTGGATATGGAATTTGATGCAACGTCCCAGAACTGGTCTCATTAATATCATATAAAATAATAAGTGACCTTCATGCTTCTACTCACTCTTTCAATCTTTCCACACCACTGGATTACACAGTAGTGCAGTGAGAACTTTACCATCACAGTGCTGAGCTGCTCGACATGAATTCTGAATCCTTTTTCAGACACAACTCTTTCCTCCAACTCTGCCCAGACTCCCAGTTCATATATCTCTTAATATACTTTCTCAGATTGTTTTAAATTGTTCTACTTAAATGACCTGAACTTAAGAAATAGGTTATTTTCTTGACATCATCCGTATTTATACCTCTGTCAATTCTTTTTGTATTTCTTAGTTTTAAACCATCAATGATTTTGAATTTCCTTTCCAGATCATAGAGGGCAGCACTGAACAACATTCTTACCTTTTTGTTTGGAATTTAGGATGTGGGTGCTGATCTCTAGAAGCTGCATCTTGTCTGGGCTGGGCTGCTTCTTACTCTTTAACATGTATATCCCACTGTTAAAGGCTTCAGCTTGACGTAGCATAATATTTGAGTTTCTGACTCAAATATGACTTTTGATAGGTTATGCAGTGTCACAGACTGGTGATTTGGCATGTCTTCCTATCTCAGCCATGAAATTCCAACTTGACAGTCTTTCAGGTATTGATGCAAAGCTTATCTACCCTCAGATTTTAGGTGAACAATGAATAGACCAAAGACAGGAGTAATTATAGTCCTTGTTATTCTATTTATCTATTCATGATAGAATAGGTTTTGTGTAATACCTTATTTGAAACAGAAATTTTTACCCTAATTTTGATGGTGTAAATTCATCTGGTCACAAATAATTTTTGAATTCATCTTTTGACATTTTCAATTTTTTTCCAGATTCCTATCTACTACTGCAGCTAACAAATTTCTTTTTAATAGATTGGGAAGGCTTAATTTACATTGTAAAGATGTTCAGGATACATTCAGAAAAGAGAAATCAAGCACTGTTCAAAGTCTGAAATCGAACAATTTAAATTGTTTAAATCCTTATAACTGTAACATTTACCAGTAGCTTACAGACACAACACAGAATCACTACCAGGGAGAGCATTCTTGTTGGTAACTTTCCTCATAAATTACGAACAGACCAGAAGAGTGTGAGGTTATAATCTCTCTCTAATAAAAGACTTCAGCAATGGGAAGCCTCTACATGTGAAAAAAAATGTACAGCTTTCTTTTTCTGTAGTGTAAAGTAACATAATGTCTTTATGCTAATCACAAGTCCATCGTACCTTACTTTTGAATACACTTACTGATATTAAAATTCTTGTTGATACTAAATTCTTATTATTATGCCTGTTAGAAAATACATGTACAAACTGTGACAGGTCAGAAATAAATTCCCTCTGGAGGCACACAAAGTCATCCTAGATTTATGCAATAATTGTATGTAGAGGACGAAGCTCTGTGCATTAACACTAAAAAGAGCTAAATTCCTAGTTCATGAAAGGAGTGTAATCTTCTCTAACCCTTTAGCCAGAGGCCTAGTATTCAGAGGCAGTGTGCAATAAAACTGAAGAACCCTTACCATGCAGATTAAATTTTTATGTTAAGCTCTAAACAGAAAACCCCTTCCTAAAATCCACTACCTTACTCAGGTTTTACTGTATTACCAAGTCTTGCTCCTCCTTAACTAGACAATTATTACACAAGTCATCTCAAGCAGATGAAAGTTTTATTTATCCAATAGTATTGCAATATGTGTTTTTTATTAAAGTTACATTGAAAGGGCAGAATTCTACAGCATTTACTCATAACACATCAAGATGAGTAAAAGGGAAAACATTCCTTGAAGAAATATTTTGTTATAAATTACAGATGATTTCTGAGATAAAACTTACTTATACAAAATGCATTAATTGTACTGAATGTATCGTTTTCAGAAGCATGCAATAAAATTATTCAAGATATTTTGAGACTTATACCTGACTAATCAAGGCAAATCTTAATGATGATGCTGTCACACAAAAAGGTAAACATCGCTTTGAGAAAATCCGTAATCACAGCAATTATTATTTTTCTTATTCAAAATTAGTTATCTTAATTTCAAAGTACTCTATTTCATGTCAAAGCAACAACTACAGGTACAGCAAGGAAAGATTTAGAAAAAGTTCAGTGAAGTATGAAAAGGACAAACAAAAAATTCTTTATTCAGAGAAAGTGGTTGATATTGAAGCTAACAATGGGTTCATATTTGGTGTGTGTTCAAATTTGTAACAGTTAAGACCTAATATGAAATAATTTTTATTTAAGATATTAAATCCAAATTCCACACTTGATTAAAATTTTAGCAGACCTTTTAAATGGAATTTCCATAAAAGTGTAACTTTTTACTTTGTGAGTAACAGAGTCTTGAGAAGAAAAAAAATTACATTCACAGTCTGCCCTGCACATGGTATCTACATACATACATACCCGTATTGAATTTTTCCATTTTGAAACTCCACCCATTGTTAACAATCGAAGTTTAGTGTAGGTTTTTTATGAGTTAGAAAATTCCTAAGTGTTTTAAGTTATTCCCTGTGTTTACTTCTAAACAAAGGCATATCTAAGCACTTCTAAAAGAGTGAATTGGCATAGAGACAATGTAGTGAAAGTAAAAGAGATTCAAATCCTTCTGAAACAGATTTTTTTACTAGAATTCAGCACAAACAGTCAAATTTCCTCATCTTTTTTGAGATTCCAAAAACCACAAATGGTTTTAGTTGCATTGTGAATCTCAGTGTTACTCAAAATTTTATTTATGTATATATTTACTGACTGTATTGTTTTTCCAATGTGTTGGACGGCAGTCAAGTAAGAGTTTCATGGTAATAAAGACTTTTTCTTTGGGTCCACATGGCTGATCACAATGCCAATACTCTTCTGCAGAGCACACTTTACAGTGTCAGTGGGAGTTTTGCATGCATATGAAGACATGGCTATAGGAGATGACATTTGTCATGTGGCCCTAAAATAGTTCCTTCAGTAAGATGTTGGGGTTTTTTTCCCACTGTAGCAGTCACTTTTGTTTTAACAGAAAACAAAACTCTAAGACAATGTAAAGAATACCATCTGCCAAGAGACTGTTTGATATATTTTATTATGTTTAAATATCAAAATAAAACAAAAACTGATGATATTAGTACTATTCTGTTCGAAATACTTACTTTTTTTTCCTGATCTAGGCTTCTATTACACCACACCTGCTTAAACAGACCAGTCCTAGAATAGACTCCGAAAGATGACATTACTTAACTCTGTGATAATGGATTGATAGCTGTTGACTGAAAGTGTTACTCATCTACAGAAGTTCTGAGGAAGAATTAACAGCAAGCTATAACTATTCAGCTTAGCAAAATAAAATTTTGCTGTTTTCCTGTTCATATAAAATGAACTATGATTGACTACACAAAATTAAAGTTTCCCTAACAAAATTTCTAACAAATGTTTTGTTTGTTTTTTTTTTCTTACTGTTAGTTTGGTAGCCACAAAGGAAACGGACAGTGCAAGATCTCGTAGCATGCCAATGTCACCATCGGATTTCCTGGATAAGCTAATGGGTAGGATGTCAGGCTACGATGCAAGGATCAGACCAAATTTCAAAGGTAATTTCAAAACTAAGCTTTCAGGGTTTTTTTTATTACTCACACAAATGCAATTTCTGGAACAAATATGAAAACAAAAAAGTACATTCACTGAAAAAAATTAAAAGGTGCCTTCTTTTGCCTTTCTTTTGTATATATGACAGTTCATTTTAGTAATAATACACTCTATCCCTGTCACTTGCATAGCTGCCCAATTACAGGCCCTTTGTAAATTTAGCTTATCATTAGATTTGAATTGTCTAATATGGTTTGTTGATTTCTTTTCTTTCCTGAAATGCTTGCTAATGGATTCAGATTGCCGCCTTGGACTACCATAGCCTGAAACAGTCCAGAAAGAAAGTTCTGTGAAATATAAGCCAAATCTTCATATCTACCTGGTTCTAACTAAAAGGAAGAGTGTATTAAGGACTTGACCATCAGAGTCAAACTCAAGAGAGCTTATCTTAGTTATCAATTCTATCACCAAATTAGATTCTTTACTCCTCAGCCCCACTTGTGCTTTGAAATGCCAAAGACACCATCTTCCCTCTTGTTCTTTTCCCAGTTCTCAGTTCTCCACTGAAACTGCAAGTTCTCAATACTTGCAGTTGTCTCTTGGCATTCGAACAAGACAAAGGAGATTCAAAGAAGACTGAAAGTCCAAAGTTTGCAAATGAAATCATTACATCTTCCAGGGGTCTTAGCATAAATCATATTATCCAGACTCAGGCAGGCTAAAGTAGAATATTTAATGAGGGAGTACGCAAACTATATTTTTATATGAATATACAAAGTTTTTTATGGACAAACACCACCCATTCCAGCTTTCACAGTCTGGAAAGTTGTTTTTTGAAAACAAGGAGTTCCAATAATATAGTGGAACCATATTTAACTCTGAATCTTTAAACAAACTATCAGTCTTTAAATTATCCAGAATATAAATAGTGTTTTGAAAGAATAAAGTTATTGTAATTAAAAACTATGTTATTCTTACTTTGCCTTAGCTGCTTCCTCCTATGCCTATCTTCCTGAGTCCAAGAGATTCTCTTAGTTCTAACATTTCACTACAAAGCAGGTCATGTTTACTACAAAAATTTTCCTTCTCGCTGACAGTCCTTTCTCCTGTAATTCATCTGTCACTGCCTTTCCATCTTCATTCTTATTCAGCAACAAATGTTATAATTTTTGACATCTCTAAGTCCCAGAAACTTAAGTTATTTTGACTCTAAAGCCACTGCTATATGGTGGTTTTGCCACAATTCGCCCAGTCTGATTCACAAGGACCATGCAAGCAATCTGCCAAATTACTTCCTCGTCAATAAACCATAAACATTTGGTCCTGTATATATAAACTTATTACCCAGGATTTGCTGCAGCTGGAAATGCCTTGGGTTTTTTAAGTTAATGATCTGATATTTCTCAGAAAATTATAAACATGCACTGAAATTTCAAACACATCTCTAGTTGATTTGGGAATTGGATTGTGTAGTTTGACCTGGACAGCATGCAGTGACAATCTTCTGATGAGGCTGCAGTGAAGAATATAGGCAGATGGTTTAGAGATTAGCAAATTCAATGAAGTAGTTCTTGAAAGTATAATTCAAAGGACTTAGAGCCTTGTTTTGTAACTATTGCAATTTAAAGAGACAAAACCTAATTTGACATTGTACTTTTTCAAAAAGTGCACATTCTAAATCTTCTAGACAGCTATGTGGTTTGAATAAATCTGCCCAGAATGATTCAGATCTACCACCAAGAATAAGTATCTCCTTAAGTGACTTTGCTGCTTTCTGGTTAGTTGTACTACTGCTAGAACAAGTGCAGGGTTTGAGTTTATAATCTAGAAACAGTTTTAAAGAAAGAGGATGAGTACTAATAAGAGAATTCAAACAATCATTTTAAATAATCTTTACTTCCAGTAAAATTCCTATGTACACAAGGTTTTTAGCTACCAATTTTAGTAATAATGAATCTTAGTCAAGAACACATAATTATATATTTTGTCTGAATGCTCTGCTTTTGCATAAGAAATTCTGCATATAAGTGCTTGTTCCACAAAAATAATAGAGATGACTTAGTATTTATTCAGCTATGGAATAAAACAGAATATTAAGAACTCTTGTAAAATCTTTGTTCCAGTTCTAACCTTTTTTTTCCCCTTACATCAAACCTATAGAAAGGTACTTCTCTTAGTTTCTACACTGCAGACTATAACCGTTCCTGCAAATATGGGAAATACTTCATTGTCTTTCAAAATTTGAACACAAATATGTAACCTGTGTGTAGAAAATGTCATGGCGTCAAGATGTTTGGAGTTAAATTGGCACAGGAGTATAGAATATTTTTAAATCTATACAGGCCAAATTGTACTGTTGAAATATTGGGGTTTTACAGAGGAAAATGTAAAAAGCCCTCGTATTGACAAACATTATTCAGCAGTAATTAGCCAGGAGTTAATTGAAAAAAAAAGTAATTTAGTTACATATGTTCTTCTGATCACTTCTGTAAGCTGTTTGTACTTTTGACCTTTTTGTTATTTTCTGTCAATAAAATCTTTGTGTTTTGGAATATTGGAAAGTATCATTTTTTGCTTGCTTTTAATTGGGTGGCTATTTTACTGATTTTATTGCCATGTGACATACTGAGAAATGGAGGAGAAGTATTAATTCCTTTTCATCTTTACAGATTTTTATACTTACATATTACTCCCTACCATATACCTTTTCCAGTGTGAAGGGTCCTATTCTTCTTAAACTGGCTTTGTGTGGCAGCTTGTCATAGAATTTTTGATCCTTTTGACTTTTTGATGTCTTTCTTCCTAATATATCCTTATGAGGCAGACAAAGAAGAAAATTTGAAGTAATCAAAATGGAAGTTCATGATCTATTTGTATGGTAGACCATTTTTAATGTAATTCTTTGCATTATCCTATCTTTATTGAATATAAAACATGCTTAGAGAGAACCATCCATAACTAATGTAGCCTCTCTTTACCGTATGGAAGCCATTAACTTGGAGCCCATCAGCAGGAATGAATAGTAAGGATCAACTGGTATTTGACTGACAATGAATTTCATCAAACATTTTATAACTTAATAGTTCAGTATTTTGTGATTTTTCTGCACCTCCTTGCAGTCAACTTTATATACAACCATGCTAAACAATCTTATATCACAAGCAATATCGTATTGCTATATCTTCTTACTCATCAATATTGAACTACAGAGGTTCAGTGCAGATGCTCATCAGCAATCACCTTGAACTTTGAAAAATGGCTCTTTATTCCTAATATTAAAAAAATTTAAAGAAAAAAGCCTATGAGAGAACTGCCTTTCATTTCATCAAAACTAATATTCTTAAAAACTTCTGACAAAATATTATGTTGAAAAGTTTCAAAGCTTCAAATAAACTCTCTAAAGTATTTATTATAATTAAAATTAATATTTGTTTAAATTAATGAGATTGATTTTGTCCACATCCTCAACAGCTCCTTCAGAGGGCTTTGGCAGATCTGAGATATGCTATTTCAGCAAAAAATAATCATAGAATAATCACAGAATCACAGAACATGCTGAGTTGGAAGGGACTCATCAGGGTCATGGAGTCCAACTCCTGGCCCTGCACAGGATGTCCCAAGAATCACACCATCTGCCTGAGAGCATCATCCAAGCACTTCTTGGACTCAGACAGGCTTGGTGGTGTGATAACAATAATATACAATAAAGATATATAATAATATTAATTTATATATCTTGTTTATAGATAGTATTAATCTATATATCTTAATCATAAAAGTTCTTATTTCTATCTGTTTGGCAGGTACAGAGGTAAGGTTTACAGGTATAAAGTTCGTTGTCAATGTAATCCACCATCATACCTGAAGTTTTGTTTCTTTTAATTCAAGATATACTTGCTGGACATGGTACACATTTCCACTGATTACAAGATTGACACAGGTGATAGCTGACTCACAGTGGTTCGTATTTCCACAATTTTGCAAAGATTTTTATCATGTCTGGATTTATGTCACCTCACCCTGACAGTTTGTTCCTGTTCACTTAGCCTGGAATATCTTCTACAGTTCTCATACAAATTTTCCATCAGAATGCCTCTAGTATTTGACACAGCTGGCAATCGGAGACAAATGCTGCTACAAAGACTTCATTTACTTTGCTGCTCTGACCTTCTGCACTTTCATGGATACTTTTATACCTTAATCATCATCTCTCACCTTCCAGATCTTGGCAGGATTCTATTTTTAATGCCTTGTAGATAGCTATCATTGTTCGCTTTTCCGTCTCTAGTGAGTTTCACTCTATTTCTTTTCTCCCTCTCTTTAATCTATTTCAACTTGTCTGAGTTCCTGTGTTTGAATATGACTTTCAGCTTTTACAGCTTCCATTTGGGCTTCTTTTTGACCATATTTTGGGAAGTTCATTTTCACTCACAGCATACTATCTTTAAATTATCTCTAAACCATTTGCAAGCTACTTTTAGCTTCTATTTTTGTGCTCCTTTTAACTAGATATTAACTATTTTATTGCAATGCTGCTTTTGAAATTAAGCTTCAGTGCTGTAATTATTTTGGACTTTTTGTTAATAAAAGCAACTATGTTGATACAGCCAATTTATATTTAAAGCATAGTACTATTTTAAACAAAATAGTATCACATCAAATTTGAAATGATGGCAAGTAGTACAACATGGAAGTGTTTGAAAGGAAAGCTGCCTTGCAAACAAATTAACATTAGCAGGAAGTACAATTTTCTCCCTGACAGTTTTTCATGACTCTGTTCATTTTCCCTGCTTTTTCTTTTTTCCTTGATCCTTTCCAGGGGTTGTGCATGTAAAGCTTCTACTGAGTTCTAAGAGGTACTGTATATGCTGAACAACTCTAAATAATTAACCAACTTTGGAAGTGACTGCAAGTGCTACCTCCTTACCTGAGAATTCTGTTCCATAGGTGTAGTCTTGTATTTTACAAAGACTGAAGTACATGTAGAAATGTTTTGTTGCAATTGCTATACAGCACTTCAAAACATTTATTACCTTGAGGAAAGAAAGGTGGATGTTTCAAGGTGTGTCATGTTGGCAGAATTTTCAATGGACATTCTGATATTTTAAGTATTTAATATCAAGTTCATTGGTCATGTTAGATTTTGCTAGTTGCAAACCACCAGTAGAGGCAGAATAGTTTCTTACTTCAGTGACCCTAAAAAAGAAATATTGCATCAAAGTTTATAAGACCAGTCCTCAAATTCCGGATACAGATCTTTCATTGTTAGTGACTGCTTACAACTACAAAAAGAATCCAGGTTTTCCAGTGCTGAACTGGATTATTGATTTAAGAATACTGAGTTACAGGAAGGTAACAAAGACATCTTGTGATGGAAAAAACTTGTTTCTGTTGTACGCAGACTGAAATTTATAAGAAATAATGAAGAAATTAGCGTGCTCTCCCACAGTGATGTTTTTAAAGAGACTTTAAAAAAAGAATTTAAACTCTTTTCCACAAAGAGGCGATTCACTATTCAGTTATCATAATGACTGCTCTGCCACTACTGATACTTCAAAATGCAAGATAAGACAGAACAACAGTTGACTGAAGACCCATGGTAGCAGAGAATTGAGTTTAAATGAACTTTTAACCATTGTGTGATTTTAAGAGAAAGGGGAATAGAATCTAAATAATTTTCCTGTAAGCAGTAGAGACAAGAGCAGCATTAATGCATTTCTTTTCCCAATGATGACAAGTAACATTAAGGATACCAGCTGTCTTGAGTGAAGAAAGTCACTTTTCCCCTGAATTGTTGTGAGAAGTAATGTGCATTCTCACTGAAACACACATAAAAATTTTTACTATATATTTCAAATTGGATGTTGCTTTTTTTTTTTTTGCATAGAACCATCTGTGCAAGTTTATACTGAATTTTCTCTCTGTCTTTTTTTTTTAATTTCTAAAACTGGCCAGTCAAGTAGTGTACCTTTGAGAAAAATTGAAAGGAAAATTATTAGAAACCATTCAATTCAATTGTGTATTAAATAAGTTGGGAATGTTGCATTATTTCCTCCTAAGTCAGCAAACATTGTTTCATAATGGTTTATATTTTACAGTCACTCAATAAGCAAAAATTCTGGAACAAGGACTGATGTTTTTTCTCTTTTGCAGGTCCTCCAGTTAATGTCACATGCAACATATTTATAAACAGCTTTGGGTCCATTGCAGAGACAACCATGGTAAGATATTTTGACTTAATCAATGTTTAAAATTTGACTTAAAGATGTTCCAGAAGCTCTAAAGCTAGCTAGGGCTTCTCTTCACCCGGAACGAAACAAAGAAGGAAATCCACTTCTAAAAACAGAAAGTGAGAAAATTTCAATTTGGCAATTGATTTTTTTCTAACAAAAAATCCATCTTTATACCATCACACAGAAGTAAAAGTAAAGCCAAGAGTTGGGGTTTTTCTTTAAACTTCTCTACAAGTTTTATTTTACAGTTGCAATGAAATAATTATTAGATTTCTATAATTTCTATAGTGTATCACTTTTCTAACCTCAAAAATACCAATGCATTGTTGCTTTGTTGATAATATTTTATAATTTCATTTAATACAGTGAATATGGAGATGTATATTTTATTTAAAAATCTTTCTTCCATAGAGCTATTGCACAGAGATAATAGAATAAGTAAAACTTTGAACTGGTATATAAAATTTGGGTAAATATAAATGGATTGCATGCCTTTGTACATACACTTATAATTTGTCTAGTAAAGAAAGACATATGATAGAGTAAAAAAAGATTGGACAGTTTAAGAAAATAAGGAGAAAAAAATGTCAAAGTGTAAAGGTAGTAAAACTAGATATTGAACTGTGAACTGACAAAAAACACTAGGATAATCTCATTTAACATGAGAAACACATATGCTAATAACTTGGAGCACAGAATTAATCATTAAAATTTGGTTAGAGAGGACATACATACATTCTTTTTCTGTACAATGGTTTCACATTTTTTTGAAGAAAGGCAAAAATACCCCTTTGAAACCAGTTACATAGTAATTTGGGGACAGAGAGAGTTAAAATACAGGGAAATGACAGAACTGTGTAGGTTGTAAGATCTAAATATAGTAAATACTCTGAAATCCCTGTAGTTTCAGAGTTGTACTTGGAATGACCGAACAGAGACTAAAAGTAATGGATATAGTAAAAAAACCCTCCAAACAAACAAAAAAAAAAACCCCACCCTAATGTAACCGAGGACCTCTAGTTAAGAAAACAATAGGACAAATTCATAAAGTGAAATATTTATGTTCCCCATCTCCAAGGTGATATTAACAACTGCCTGAACATAGTAGTAGAGGTTAGTGAGAGAGGTACATGATTTTTTCCAGTTAGAAAAATTACTTTAATTTGTATTTGGGGGCCTTTCCAGATTGCAAATCCTAAACAGATTGACATGGCATCTAAAGAGATTTATTCAGGTTCAATCAGAGGATTAAGCAATACCCACATTATTAGAATAGTGTTCAACAGCTACTTTATGGTGCCTGGATGAGTGAATTTCATCCAAAACAGGAGACAGACCATGGGGTCAATAAAGTGCCAAGATCCAGCCACTACATCATTATTTAAAGGATATCTAGAAAATTGGAGTTGTTACCACTTAGAAAAATTGTCCTGAATTTGGGAAGAGAATGGCTGAGTTCACATCTGAAGTGTATTTTCTCTCCAAAACCAGAGAATTATAAACATTTCCTTTCAGTGCAACTTAGTAAGTTAGTTCAATAGATCTATTTTATAATGAAACTACCTTCTGTACTGTGTTGCCTTGAAAGCAAATTAAAACAGTCAAGATAGATAATGACCTGACCTGTAACAAATAGTTCCAGTTAGTACTTTATAGGAAATACCAAACCTGGTCAGAACCACAAGGCTTTTCATTGTCTTGGTTATATGTATTGAAAAACTGGGCACTTAAGCACAACCTTGACCTTCATGACTCTTGTATTCTGTTTATAATGTATTCACTGATGCACTTCAAAACAGACTTCTGTTTATTGTCAGCAGCTTTTGACCTCCCAGAGACTCAGATCTTGCTTTGCAGAAGAACAAATGTTTTTGTCTAGATAGGACTTTTAATTGTATGTTTTATTAGCTTTACTTCTCCCCAACACTGAAGGTGAACTTTTAAAAAACATTAAAACCTATCTTAAAATATATCTTAAAATGACAATGAAAATCATTTTGCATTATTTTACAACCTGAATTTCTGCGTGGTTTAACAGAAGTTCAGTGTTTCACCAACTGGCACTATTTTATCAGTTTTATTTACTGTAGCCCTTAAAATTCAGGTACCTATGTCTCAATATCTGTTATAAATCTTTATGCATACGACTCATTAGAACAATTTTTTAGACTCAAAAAGGGCTTTTATATTCTTCATAAATATTTCTTTTCCAAACTGTAAACAGAACAGGTTAAGTAAGCAGCAGGTGCAAAATAAAACCTGGCCACTAAGTGATACCTTGCATTTAAAACAGCTAATAACGGGATATGCGTATAATCTCCTAGCTTTAAAGAAATATGAATACATCGAGGCATGACCTTCGCTGTCACTGTAATTGCCCTTGGCACTGTCAATCTCTCTCCTTGCCTCTCCGGTGCCCTTGCTGATGACCAAAATCCTTGAGCTCCCTCTGCTGCCCCGGATGTGTATAACAGAGTAAACAGTCACAGAAAAACAAGGGGTTAAAAAAACCCGCAGCAGTTGCAAAGTAGCTCGGTGCCAACTTCACATTACCAGACTTAATAGCTCTCACTGAGGTCAAGGAGTCTGTCACTGCGCAGTAGGAACTGCACTGTGTGTCTCTCAGGCAAGCAGATTCTCTTAAAGTCATCCACACCTGGTCTAACAGCTCAGGAGAGACAGAGAATCCTAAAAAGTATCTTGGTTTGGCTTACAGCTTGTTAACTCGGTAAACTGGTTCTTTCTTTTCTTGTTTTTGGAGGTTTGGGTTTTTTTTTTTTACAGTTCTTTTACTTTCTTTAGAAAGGGGTTACAGTTATTTCATGTTTTCTTTCTTTGTCTCAAAAGAGAGATCAGATGGTTCATAGCAGGGAAAAGACATACCACCTCTTGCTAGGAAGCTGTGATTCTACTTGAACCTACATAACTTAAAGTGATCATATCAGGAATTTAGTTTGTGTTATGTATGCTCTGAGGAGGCAGAAAAAAAGTGAACCATATAATTGAAAATCCTCTTAAACAAACTTCTGTCATTGGCACCATTTATGATCTAACCTCGCCAATCTTTCTGTATTATTGAACTGAATGGTAGTTTCAGTTCTGTGCATGTCTCAATGGTACTCAGCTTGTATTTGCATTGTACCTTCTAAAGCTAAAAGACTTCCTGATCACTAAGAGCAGTCTGGTATATATTGTTGGCAATTATCAACAACAACAAAACCAAGAACAGATTATTCAGTCTTACAGGGTAAGAGTAATATCAGTGCCAACATTTTCAGCTACAAATGCTCAGAGTCGAAATACTGAATACAAGAAACAAAGGCTACAGGACAGTTTGGCTATTGGGTGATAGTAGGCCATACCAAAAAGTCTGCTTTTATTTTAGTAGATATGACTGACAGATTTGCTCAAGGTTTTCTGAGTTTTAAAGGTCAGGTACAATACTGATCTTAATGTAGGTTTACAGCAATTTTTACTAAGTGTGTGTTAATATGCTTAGCATAATGCATATGCTAAAAGTGCATTGAAAGGGAAGCTCACTGAGAAACCTAATGGCAAATGACAAGGGTTCAGACAATTAACACATTAAAAACCATATGTCTCTTATTTGGTCTTGCCATGTTTTTGCTCATAGGTATTTCTTGGTTCAGTCTGAAAAGAACTGAATGTTGATAGGAAGCATGTGATAGATCTTTCTCTATTCCCACTGCTAATGATATTGTCTTGCATTTACAAATAAAATGTGCTTTTAAACCACATTAACCCATTTTTATGCAGTCGTAATTACTCTCAGGAGTCACAGGTCTCTAATTTCTTTAGCTTCATCTTTCTTTCAACTGAGAATTTCTGTTTATGTTCTATTGTACCTACTCTAGGTTCTGTCTCAATAGAGTGCTTGGAAGAAGTGTTCACTTGCATACATTACAAACCTTAATGCTGAAGAGTTTCACCAAATATTTTTCTTCAGAGTAATCACTTAGTTGATTGTCTCAAATACATTAAAATATATGCCTTTCTTTGGTGAAAATACGCTGAAAAAACCTGTATAGCAATGTGTCAATACTGACGTGGCAGGAAGAAATATATATGGTTTTTATCTCAGACGAGTGAAAGTGAGGCCTTGCTATAAAGGCCACTTTACAGTTTCAAAATTGAAAAAAAAAATCTTTTTTTCCCTCTATTTGTCAATTAACTCCCTTCTATCACAACACAGAAAACTTGATTTTTCTTGTACAAGTTTGGAAGACAGCTTTATTTTTCATAAACTTGCCTCTGCCACCCTGATCCTGGGTCAGAGTCAGGACTAGACAGAGGTTTTACAAATTCTAGTGGGTCTGCAGCTGTTCAGTCTGTTACATGTCCAGACTAATCCATGCAAATCCCTCTGCTGAATCTGCATTCTAAGCAGAGATATCATATCACCCTCCTGAGATACAGCATTTATTCCATATTATAAGGAAATTCTCTAGGATGCAATCAAAGTATGCTTGGAAAAGCACATTATGATATATACAACATATGAATTATCAAATAGTATAATTTTTCTTTTAATTTAAAAAATAATAATTCCTATACTGATTGGTTTTACAAGCAGCAATAGAAAACATTTTTTTGTACACTTCTACTCTGACACTTTTAGTCTAGGATAACTTTTTAGAAGGGAATCTTGGAATTCAGATAGTGTGTGGTGGAAGATACCAGGTAAAATGCTGACTGGTTGTACAACAGCACAACAGCATAATGAAGCAGAGAGAAACAAGAAAATGCTAGGCAAAGGTAGCACAACCATCTCCCATCCATCTCACCAAGTTATAGGGTGTGACATGGTACCAACTGCTTGGAATAGCTGATCAAGGGTGCACATTGCATATTACTAACACAAGTTGAGTCAGGTGCCTATTTAAAATGAGATCAATTTGAAGTTTTACATAAAAACATGACAGTCAGGTATCTGATTTGCTGATAAGCTGTGATAGTGCAGCTAATGG